TATGCAGCCCTCCTAGGAGAAATCAAGGCTGGAAATCTCAGGGAGCACCTAGTTAATTTTTTATGAAACACTTAACCATGCTGTCAAGCTGCACTGTCACATAACTGGTATTTGATGCCCTGGGGCACTTGGTGGAGGTGCAGCCTTCGGACATGTGCAGGCACCAGCCTTGTCCCCCGGAGCTGTACACAGACCCCAGCAGCCCTGATCCCACCGGCAGCAGGGGATATACCAGTGTCTCACAGTTAATGGTCCCAGAGGAATGAAAGAGCAAACCAAGAATGCCCTTGCTCAGGGGTTCCCGCAGAGACAGTTTCCTCAGGCAGAAAGGCCACGTCTGGATGATGCCATCAACAGGGGGGCAGAGCAGAACTGTCTCCGTTTTCAGCCAGGGCTAATACGTTTCACATCGCCTGCACTGGTCAAAGCCTACTGCCCTCTTGCTAACGTCAAGATCTCTGACGCTTCTTGGGGCTGTGTCCCTCTGACTGCCTGCCCTTACGTCTTAGTTTCCAGGTGATCCAAGTGTCAAAGCAGCGTCTGTTCACATCAGTCCTATTCTTCCCCCTTTGACTGAGTCCATTCTGGTTTACTCTGTGTTTCTGTCCTCACACAGTGATTTGGCTTTGTGTTCTTGGGGCTTTGAAAGTCGCTTTAGCGAGACCTGGACATTGCAATGTCATTCTCTTTATGGGAATCTGCTTTGGTTTATCCAAAATATTTAATTGTCGGAGACCTCTGCATTCAGCAACAACTGGTGAAAGGCCAAGTTACTGTCATGCCTGAAAGGTCACTGCTCAGAAGCTATTCTCTGCAGTGCCAAAGTGCCCCTTTACTGTGTCCTGACCATTATCAGGTCTGTCTTTATGGTAATTCAGGTTTCATACAGTGATTGCCCAAAGTATAAAGTAATTCAGGAGGGATGATAACATAATACCATCTTGTTAACACTCTCTTCCACCTTATCAAATGTCATGATCTAGCCATGACAGCAAGGCTTTGTGCTCCCAAGGTGCCTGGCTGATCAGGTTGCAAGGAGAGTGACAACTCCTTAAGTATTTTGGCACCTTTGCCATTCCTTCCTTGGCCTTTAGCTAAGATTTTTTTTAAAGCTGGAATTAATGTGTGACACAAGCTGGCTAATCTGCTAGAAATACTTATTTCCAAGTTTGCAGAAAGTATTAACTCTGAGCAAGCATTTTTCTGGACTATTATTCCTCAGAGCTGAGAAGTAGCCCATCCACCCCAGTCATTAATGAGCACATGAAGGAGTGAATAGTTCACCACTGTCCCCTTGGCTGATGCATCCTCCCCTCTGCCACGGACAGCCTTCGCTCTGCACAATGGGATGTGATCCACACGCGGGGACCACGTTTGCTCTGTGGTCCCCAGAGGAGGGTTTTCTTTTTCCTGCCCCAAAGGGCTACTGGTCTTGTGCTGCTTGAGGCAGCAGCTCCATGTATCCGTGCAGTGCTTGTGATTGGGACCAGGACAGGGTGAAAGGGAGAAAGCCAGCATGGCTGTAGGTGCACATGACATGTTGGCTCAGCAGAAATTTTTCTCCTTTTCTCCTGCCTGTAGCAGTAAATTATCTGGCATTAAATAAGCAATGATGGACCACATGGGACGCAAGTATTCAGCATGGAAAAAAACTGGCCAGAAATCTGAGAGGGTGAGGGCCTGGACAGAGCTGACCCTGGGCAGTTGCATGGCTGTTCCTCTCCTGCAGCACATTTGTTGTGTGGGGTGGTGTGGCGGGGAGGCCACCTCTCCTGATATGCCCTCACTGGGATCAACGGTGCCTCTAAGACTTCAAAATGATCCAGAGCCGACAGGGTCTAGCTTGGGAGCTCCCTGGCTTCATCGTCAATGGCATCACGCTCTCAACAGCATCTCCCCGTGACAGCGCATCCCACCTCCAGTCCTCCTGGAGTGCTCTGAGGCAGAGGTGATGGACCTGGAAATAATGCCATGCCAGTTAGACCAGTGCAGCATTTCTGAATCAGATGGTGTCTCTCCGAAGAGTCTGTCAGCTCAGGGTATCCGTAAAGCCATGACACCCAATTGATACGCCTTATCATGGTGTCGTTATTCCTTCCCAATTCAATACCTGCTTTTCCTCAGTTATCAAATAGAATATGAGCTGTTCAAGTCACTGCACAGGTGCTGTTGGCTTTGATAAATGTTGGGTAAGGTCACAGTCTGCAGGAAAGTCAGGATGGGAATGCTGGGCATCTCCTGCTGGCCTGGGTGGTGAATACCTGCCTCTGTGACTATCATCTCCACAGTCTGTCTTTACACTAAGAAAGGTGCTGCCTGGTCCTTCATTTATCACCCATAACGTGTGGCACATCCCTGCTGCATGGGCTTACTGCAAGGGTAAAGTGCTCAGCACTGAGAGCTGTAGAAGTACGTAACAGTGAGGGGTGGCCAGTGTTTTGACACGTTTTTCAGTCAAAACCTCAATTTTATTTGAAAACAAAAAAGTATGTTATCAGGGCATGACTTCTCAGCCATGTCCACATCTTGACATGAGAGCAAGCCCGAAAGGATGATGTACTAAACCAGGCAGCGGTGTGCGGACTGGCACCCAGAGCTGGCCAAGTCTGCCTCTGCCCCTATGGGTCATTGCTCAATGATTTACCTAACTCCTAACATCTCTAAGGAAATATTTGCAGTGGAAGTCACCAGAAACCATACATTGTTTGTCTTGCTCCCCAGCAATTATTCTGGATGTCCTCAATGACATCACTTGCCTCTTTCCTGCTGTAAAGCTCTATATATGAAGATGCTTGATGCAGGTCATCTTCAGAAGACAGGGACATCGGCTGGAGAGAGCCTCGCACTCAAGAGCTTGGTCAGGTAAAAGCAAACTTGTTCCTCTGAAAGTGGGCTCTTAGCTTCTGCTTCTGCAAACCTGAATGCTTCCCAAAGGAGAACCCTTAATGTTCATTTGGGAGTATTGGCTTTTTAACAAAAATTGTTATCCTTGCCTGCTGCCTCCCTGAATTATGCTCCAACAAGTAAAATGTGCAGCGGCTTTCACTATGAGTTTCTTAAGAACAGACGTGCATGTTCATTGTATTTGCAGTCCTTGAAGAAGAAAGGATATTTCATGGTTTTCATAAACAATTATCACTTAAATTATTTTTGGTAAAACTCTATTATCTGTGATAGATTTTTAGCTAAGGTGAATTAGACCTCTCACACTTGTTTTGATCCCTTTTTGATGTGCTATTTACATTTAAATGGATCTGGGGCAATGAAGTTCATTATGGTTCTTTAGAAAAAAAACGACTTCAAGTTGTAGGTCCCACAGAAATATTTCAATGACACTGAAACTTTGAAAACTATTTTCTCCTTCTTACAATTCTAGCAAAAGGTGCTTTTATGCAGAGGGAAGCTTGATGTTTGTGGAGAGATCATGACATTCAAACAAGGAGATGCTTTCCTTACTAGATATGTTGGTGCATTTGCCCTGTGTAGGTGCCATTGCTTTTCTTTCCGTGACTAGAGATGATCATGTTGTCAGAAACGTCCTGTGTTCCCATCATGCGGGATACGTGATCTTGTTTCTCGGAGAAATTCCCCTCCAGAACAGATGTCCCCCAGATCGTCCAGATCAGTCACCAACATTCCTCACCAGTGCTGAGGGATTAAAACAACAACAACCGAACAAGTGCTTGCTTTTCACTTGGCTGCTGTGACAGTCGGTCTTTGGAGCAACCGTTGTTGAAGTTCTGGTTCCTCCTGCAGGAAAGTGCCATCAGGAGTTTTACTGTGCCCACCAGTGTGGTGAGGAGGTGGGAGAGATGCCAGCAGCTTCCTCTCTGATTTTGTCTCCCCTCACAGTCATTCCTCCTTTTTCTTTCCTCCATCCTCCTCTTTCCTCCCCCCACTGGCTTGTGCTCACTGTCCCAGCATTGCACTGATGGCAATCACTTTCTACAGTTATCAGGACCAAGGATGTCTGCGTTCTGGGCTGTTTTCCTTCTCTGCAGCCTGCAGACCCCTTCACAAGGACTTGGAATCATGTCCTCGGTTGGCAAAGTGGATGTAGATGGTAAGTGTACGGAAGAGACAGGATTTATCTTTTTTTTTTTTTTTTGAGACCAGTTCTGCTCTTTCTGTCTCTTGACCATGCTCAGAAAATCAGAAACTGTCCAGATCCATTCAGCAGTAGTGGCAATGCTGGTAATTTGCATTTATAAAACACTTTGGAGATGGCACTTCAGATACTTTACAGTGGCTGGTGCCACCACCCCTGTTGTATAAAGAGGGAGACAGAGGGATAGTGGAGGGGAAGGAACAGCCAGGCTGACACAGTGTGCTTGTATGCTGAGTCCACATAGTTCACAGTGACCTCTTATCCTTTTTTTCAGATATTAAACATTCACTAGCCAAACGTGACCTCCAGAAGCTTCAGGGTGGTCTCCTTGGCGGCAAGCTGCTCAGTGGTCTCCTTGAAAAAGGTAGTCCTCTTGGCAGAGTCCTTGGTGAAGATGGTGCTGTTGGCAGTCTCCTTGGCAGAGAAGGTGCTGTTGGCAGTCTCCTCGGTGGAGATGGTGTCCTTGGTGGTCTCCTCGGTAGAGAGGGTGTCCTTGGTGGTCTCCTTGACAGAGATGGTGTCCTTGGTGGTCTCCTTGGCAGAGATGGTGTCACTGGCAAAATCCTTGGTGGAGATGGTGTCCTTGGTGGTCTCCTTGACAGAGATGGTGTCCTTGGTGGTCTCCTTGGCAGCGATGGTGTCACTGGCAAAATCCTTGGTGGAGATGGTGTCCTTGGTGGTCTCCTTGACAGAGATGGTGTCCTTGGTGGTCTCCTTGGCAAAGATGGTCTTGTTGATGGTCTCCTTGGCAAAGATGGTCTTGTTGATGGTCTCCTTGATGTTGTCCTTGATATTCTCATTGGAAAAGGTGGTCTCCTTGGAAAAGATGGTCTCGTTGGCAATCTTCTTGGTGGAAATAGTGGAGATCTCACAGGGTGAGTGAGAGTGGGACATGGGTGTCCCTGAGCAGCCCTTGGTGTGTCTGGGTCACGCTGGGGAAAGGAGGCTCTGGTCTGGAGCCTGCTGTCTGAACATATGGGGGCCCCTCTTTCCCCTCCTGGGGCAGGTTCATAAATGAGGGTTCAGCTGTTGGGATTTTCTGTATGTGCCTGCCATGCAAGGGTGCCTTGTATGTGCCACAAGCTGCTCCTGGCCGGCCGGGATCCCTGCTGACCCAGGGCAGAGAGGACCCTGAGACTGTGGTTCCACAGTTGCCCACAGCGCTGGGGACCAAGGGGATAGGGCATCCACTGTACAAATGTGCTACTTACTGCCTTTGCCTTGTTTCAACCATCCAGGCTGAAAATTGTGAACAACACCCTCCCCAAAATAAGTCTGCGCTCCCTGCCAGGCTTTGGGCACGAGGTGGGCTTCAACACCAAGCTGCTGGTAGAGAGCACCAGGTACGGCGTGTCCGTCAGGGGCACGGCTCAGGACAGGGGGTCACCATCTCTTTGGAAAGTAAATGGCCAGCAAATTTCCTGAGCCGCGTGCTGTGTTTCCCCCCCCGAGCAGTGCGCCGGGCAGGGCGCTCTGCATGCAGGTGGAGGCAGATGTGGTCATGCTGGTCCAGGACAAGTGGGCGGCTCTCCAGAGCGATAAGGACTGCAAGACTTTGGACATAAACATCCGTGTGAGGTAGGCTTCCGTGAGAGGTTGGCATCCGTGTGAGCAGGGTGCTCAAGGCCAGCACGTGGCCCCTGTGGCAGTGGGAAACCTTGGTGCTGCTGGCCATCGAAGGCAGTGCTTTTGTGCCTGATGCCTCGGAGGCTGAAATACCCGGCTGCCGGCCTCGGAGGGGAACAGCTGACCTTTCCTTTAAAATTTGGGCTCAAGAAAGAATATTTCTGGGTTGTGCTAGGAACCTAGCACTCGGCTGGATTCAGAAGGCTTGGTTTTGGTAATATTTTGGCCCTGTATGCGGCCCTGGACAGTGCAAGTGAGGCCTCGTATTTCTCTTGTGCAAAATACTTTTATTTTCCAGCCGTTAATCTACATCACTTTTTATTTCCTATTTTCCTGTTACCCAGACCCAAAGTGCCACTGCTGGATCAGCCTTTAAAACGCCTCCTTAGTGATGTCCTGCGTGAGGTGGTAAGCCTGCAAAGCGATCTTCACGCGAGGTGCTGGGTGGGCAGGCAGGGCAGGCAGGGCAGGCAGGGCAGGCAGCCCCCGCGGACGCGGCTGTTTGCACAGCTGTGGGCTCAGCCGGGGAGGTCAGCCTGTCCTCTCCACCGACGGGCACCGGCACCTCGCCCGCACCATCGCCTGTGCCAGGCACCACCGGCAAACCGGTTTCTGAGACACGTGCTGGTTTAGCGGTCGCAGTGAGCAAGTCTTGCCCGGGAGGAGAAACCCACCCTGGCTTAGCGGGGCCACTCGCCTGCCTGATGCCGAGCGCTGCTGTAACGGGGCGTCCCACCAAACCCTGCCCGGCAGCGGCTCCTACCCACGCCGCACAACCCCGGCAGAGCCGTTTTTTCCTACTCGTGTTAATGCAATGTACGTCCGCCGGTGCTGCGGGTGCCGGGGCTCTAACTTTTCTCTGCCTCCCCAGGGGTGCAACATCGTCAACAGCAGGCTCAACGTGGTGAGCACTCTGCTCGGCTCCAGGACGCGTAAGTGCTGGCACCCTCCTTTTCCTCTGCTCCTGTGTGACCCCCTGCACTTAGGATTGGTTGTTTTTTTTTTTACACTGGGTAAATACAAATATTTTAACAACTTCCTAAAAACACAAGTCTCGGCTCAAGCACAGCATTCAATTTCCCTTGCCCCAGAGCAGCAGCAGACAGTTTTTCCTGCAGAAAGCCACTTCAGGAACTGTTGCTTTTAGAAACAATATTTTTGCTGCAAAATAATGCTTTCTAGCAGCTTGTCCAGCTGGGAACGCTGTGAGCAGGAGCCGCTGTTGCTTCCAATATCTCTTGGGACCACGGGATTTGGGAGCATCCCCCTCTCCTTGCAGCTTAAAGGCTTTCTTCCCTGTGTCCCACAGCCGCGTCCCCGCTCGGGGCTCTGGGAGATCTGCCCCCCTTTTCCATCATCAGCGGCGACGCCATCCAGCTGGATCTAAATGTAAGTGCCACCGCTTCCCCTGGCCCAAAGACCTTGGACTTGGTGAGTTTGGGTAATTCATCTGAATGTGGTGGCTATTTGTCGAAGGCTCGTCTTATTCCAGCTGTCTTCAGGAAAGCATTCACTGGAAGGTACTGATGAGTGTGGTCCGGCCATGGCTGTGCTAATGCCATCACTGGGTCTCTACCTCATTTTTTTCACTTGCTAATCCTTGAGGGTAGCATGAGGCAGATTGGCTTGAGGCTGCTTAATTAAGCATAATTATAGCACTCTCACAGTTGCTAATCAGAAAAGCTTAATTTCATACAGGAGCAGTGGTCACCATTCACAAGCAGGTTCCATTTCTAAGTGGTTTGCAAAAGTTTGGTATGTAATTGGTAGGGACCACAATCAGGCCAAAAATATTGGCAATGTGTCTTTCTGACTGGGAGACGTGACAGTGTTTTAAAGGGAAAGCTGCAGCAGATGCAGCCTTTGCCTGTGCTAGAACAGGCTGAAGCAGCCGCAGGTTTATTGAAGTGTCAGTTCGCCCCGCGTGAAGCCTCTCCACGAGGTCCACGGGCGAGCAGGGTGCCCGGCGTGGCCACAGCCCTACGAGCCCCACCAGCGTCCCTCCCCTGCTCTGTCCCCTGCAGCTCCTCGCCGGGGATGCGGAAGGCGGTGTGGTGGCCTCCACGCAGGGACCGTCACTTGCCGCCACGGTGTTACTAGCCACCGGCCACCCGCCGCTGCTCAGGCTCCCCCAGCACATCCTCAGCACCCTGCTGGAGCCCATCCAGGGGCAGGGAGCCTTCAGCCTCAGCATCACCGACTCGATGGTGGGTCACGACACCCCTCCCCGGGGCTGGGTCAGGGTCCTGGTGGCTCTTGGGTGACCCAAGGGTACTCGCCACCACGTGCTTGTATTTGTTGGTGGGGTCCAGCCGAGCCCAGCGTGGGCTTTGCACAAACCCTCCTGGTCGCCGACACCGCTGGTGCCGTTCCTGCAGGTGCCCGATAGCATCTCACTGTCCACGTCTGCCCTCCTCCCGCTCATCCCCCAGGTCAGCCACCTCCTTCGTGCGCATTGATCTCCAACCCTACGCCCACCCTGGCCATGCAAAGACCCCCCCGCCGTTGCCCTGACCTCCCCCTGCCCCGTGCAGATCGCCAAGGTCCTCCCCGGCTCTCTGCCGCTGGAGCTGCGCGTGCGGGTGGCCAACAAGCCAGTGGTGGCCGTGAGGGACCGAAGAGCCACTGCCACCCTCAAAGCCTCCATCGACATCTTGAGTCCCCTCCTGCAGTCCTCCCAGAAGCCTCTCTTCTCCCTCGACACGGTGAGTGGGCTCCCGGGGGATGAGACCTCCGAAACAGGGCAAGGGGTGAGTCTGGCTGTTCTCTGGCATCCCCTCGGCTTGTCCTGCCCTTAGCCATGTCATACTTGTACTTCTGAATTTACTACATCTTCAAAATGGTGGTGCCCCGTCCTTTTAAAATGCTCGTAACAAGCGCAATGTTTAAGGGATAATACAAAATAAAGACAGGAAGGGTGAACCCTGGGGAGAGAAATACATGATGCCATCTGTCAAAAAAAAGCACTTTCTAGGCTCAGACAGGTGTTTTTTCTCAGAATGGGTTATTTACAAATACTCTGGGTTTTCTTTTCAGTCTTGGGAGCTACACAGGGAAATAACCTCATTTCTTCCGTTGTTCCAATTTCAGGACATCATTCTGAACATCACCCCATCGGTCTCCGACGGCAAACTGCAAACCTCCCTGGCTCTTGACAGGTAGAGCCGAGCTCTGCGGTTGCTGTGGGGGCTCTGCCTGGGGATGCTCCCAGGAGCCTGACAAGATGAGGCTGGTGACAGTGATCAGGGAGTGCGGTGTAGAGGTGGCAGGGATGTAAAGGGCTGCCAGAGCTTTTCTGCCTCCTCTCAGCCCCAGCCTCAGACCAAGTGCATGTCTGAAGTGATGAGAGAGTTGTAAAAAAGTTGCCCTATTTTCAAAATCCTTGTATCTTTATGTGGGTGAGACAAATTCCAGACCATGAAAGGGTCTGAGCAGCATTTGGAAGCTGGAGGAGGGCTGCACCCAATGCACCCCAACTCTACCTTGTTTTTATCTTTTGTAGCATCAGCCTGACACGGGCACCCCTGAGACTCGACCCTCTCAGTGTAAGTGCACGCTGCTTTGGATCGAGGCGCTGCAGCAAGCGATGTGTTGGCCAGAGACTGTGTGTAGGGAAGGAGAACCAAAATGACAATTCTTCTCCAGTCTTCACATTCCTTGTCTTGGCAGAGGCCAATTGTTGTCTGCCCTGTCGATCCCCTGTGCCCTATAGCAGTGACACTCGGATGTATATGTTCACTTGTTGGCAGCGCACTGGGGGTGCTGGGAAGTGGGGGGGAATAACTGAGAAGAAGTTACCCAAAGGCCATGTCCTGCTATAGCCCCCCACCCTCAGTCCTGGCAGAGTTTCACTGAAGGAAGCTTCCCAGCGTTTGCCTCTCATAGCTCTGAGCATCCTGCAGTGACAGAACTTAGCTGATAACCCTGACATTGCTGTTTTCCTCCCAATAACTGTTGCTCTCTTCTGCTGGTACTGACACATGTCTTCTTCCCCTGCAGGTCTCCCTGCTTGCAGGATGGCTCAAGCAAGTCCTTGCTGCTGCATACGTACCTGCCATTAACGGTATGGCCAGGGTCTGGGTCCCTTCTCTCAAACTCAGTCGGATTTGGGGCTCTCCCCCTTCCCTCGCTGCCTCCGTTTGGTTCCCCCCCAGTGGCGAGACGCTTTCACTTGCTTTTGCAGATGCCTTGCGTGTGTCGGTCCCTCTGCCCAACATTCTCAACACCAGCCTCAGGAACGCCAAGGTTGACATCACCGACGTAAGGATCGCGTTTCCCACAGTGATGCCTTCCCAGGGAGCGGGGGCTGTGCCCACCCCGGGGCAGGGACCTGTGGAGCCCAAAGCCCCGCGCCGCTCTGGCCAGTCCCATTTCCCATGGGCTTCTCCTGGTTTCCAGGAGGTCCCTCTGCTGGTGTGGACCCACAGGAAAACCTCACCTGGGATACAGGGAAAAGCTGGTGAAAGTCTGTATGAGAAAACTGAATAGTTTTTGTGCTGCTTCTCCCAGGCAGATGACTCTCTCAACCAGACCAGTCTCAAAGGATCCTGCTTGGGAGGACCCTCGACCCTGCTCGCCGTCTGAGGCAGGCAATGCACCGTGAGCCCCAGAGCCCTGCTCATCTCTGCTGTCTCCATCTTCATTTTCCCTTGAGTAACACCCTGTGTTACCGCCGTGGCCTGAGGGTCTCTGGTCGGCTGGTGCTGGTGTAGCCTGGCATCGGGGTAGGGAAAGCTGCTCAGCTGGTGGATGTTAGGGGGGGTTTCTGTGGGCACTTTTAACATCCGTAGTTGGGAAGCAGAGCTCTTTCTTAAGCGTAAAGGTTGCTCTCGTATTGCTCTTTCAATAAAAATCATTCACTGCCTCAGTATTTCCCTCTCTTAATATTTATTTGATATGGGTTTCTGGCTGCCAGCATCCATTTGTCTCCACCATGCCCCTATGCCGTATGGCCCACGGACAGGCAGTGCAGCTTGAAGAGGAGGCTGTACCTATAGCGAACAAGCCGGTACCTTACAGAAAGTGTTTTTGAAGCTCAGCCTGTGCCATAAGGCGTGAAACAGCAGCTCGCATGGGAGCAGGGGTTTGGTGCACGTGGGTGCCCTGCCACAGCCCATCCCTTGCCCAGCTGGGTGCTGCTCATGCCAGACTGACGGAGGGCAGAGGAGGTGCTCGCAATGCAAAACCACTGCGGATTTAGCAAAGCGCTTGCTGATATTTCCGACTCATCTGAAACCCTTGTTGCAGGGGGAGCAGCTCCTTGCTGGAGGCTCATCTGCAGCGTGTCGCGCGTGGAGCCCGGTGGTGGTTGTTGTGCAAGGCTCTGTACGGAGCCAGGCACAGATAAACTGAGCTTACACCTTCCTACTGCTTTGCTCAGGAGCATATTATCCCCTTATTGTGTAAGATGCACCAGGTTGTTAGCAACAGGTTTTATCTCACAAAGGTATTAAGTGTTGAGAACACCAGGACAAAAGACCCCTTATGGTCTGGAGCTGACGTGGAGCGGCATGTCCCTCCGCACAGGGGCTCTTCTGAGGCCGAGGAAATACCGTCTGCTGGGAAGTGGTTGGCGGCTGCCGGGACGGGTGGGATGATCCTCAGAAACCGCTTCTTGGGTCAAGCATTAAAGGAGATAAAAAATCTCCTGGTGCTTTTCTGGAGCCTCCCCACATGCTCGCTGGAAACTTGAAAAATTACTCTGCTACGGTAATTTGTGTGTGACAGCTTGTGTGCAAGTGTTAGTGGGGATTTGTCTGGAATAAGCTGATTTTCCAGCACGGCTCTTTCAGGGTCAGCAGCAGCCTCATGTGCTGCAGCCCGCAGAGTCTCGGGCTCCTTCTCCTTTGCTTTAGCTCTGGGCTCTTGGGTAACAGCACTGCCTGGTAACTGGGTATCCAATAACCTGTTGCTCAATGCTTTTCCCTGTTTTACAAATCTTTATTTATATTGGAATATATTAAAACCACAAATGCTACTTTATACACTCAATCCACTATCCCAGCTTTTACAATTTAGGCATCTTTCCACTTTTTCTGCATCAGCTTTGCTATATAAGGACCCACTGTTCCTACATGTTAAAGCAGAGGTGCCTATGGACCACTGTAAGGTCTCCCCTTGAGCAAGAGCTGAGCACTGCAGACCAAAGCCAGGCTTTGAAATTCAGGATAAGGCCAGGTAAAGAAAGATGATCAAAATAGTGGTATGGGGTGTTGTAAGCTTGGGGGACAGAGCCACGATTTTACCTACAAGCCTTACAATGTACTCTGGTGAGCAAGAAAAAAACGTGGGAATAATACCTATAATGGTAGAAATGCAGGTATGTCATTCTGTTTTATTTTTAGTGACTAGCCTGAAAAATCAGGCAAGAAGGTTGTTATAGCAAAATGAAAACCATTCTCTGAATTAAAAAACATATTCATTTGACAAAAAAATTTAGGGAATTTTTGTGTTGCAATATCCTTTTAAGGTTGTTCTTATTATTTTTACTGTTGTAAGGTTATAACATCCCATTTTAAAAAGAAAAGCTTTATTCCAAGTGTGAGTTGCTTGTATAATTGCAACATTAATTTGCATACCTACTCACAGGGCGGTTATTAGCAAGGGGAGCTCAGTGTAGTCTATAAGTTATGAATAATGACTTCATACTGTAAGTTTAAAATTATGTCATGGTGACCGGGGATGGAAAGGAGCAGGTTGCCCGGGGTGCCCATAAATAGGAATAAGCAAACAGGTGCTGGGGTTGTGTGGGAGCTGGCTTGAAAAATTCCCTGAGGATGTGCGTACGGACACCCCCCTCTTTGTGTGTGTCCAGATCTATTTGCCGAATGTCGCCCTAACTCATGAACTGTTTTGGTCCTCCTAAAGCTCATGTTTTCTAGTCACTGAAAAATTCTCACCCAGCTCGAAATATCTGACTCCTCTTCATCTCCAGGGGTTTGCCCAGCCTACTCCCACTTTTTTCCCGTTGTTCTTCCCCAGGTCCTGCCAGCACCCACAGCTCTCCCAGCCGAGCAGAAGACACCATGCCACCGGTTCTGGGCATCGCCCTCTTGTATGCCCTGCTGACCCCATCACTAAGCCAGCCGAAAGATGCCGTCCTCAGGCTCAGTAAAGGTGTTTTAAGCGATGGTGAGCCACTCTGCCTCCTTGTAGCGGGATCCTGGGAAACAGGAACCAACAGTGATCCTTGGGGGTTGATGCCCTTGTACCAGCACAGCCCGATCAGCCAGGGAAGGGAAGGGAATTGCACATGGAAGAGCATGAGGCTCACATGCCAACCTTCCCCTCCAAACTGAACCCGGAGTCATTTTTTTATGTAATTAAAATTTCAACTGGCCAGGCTCCTAAAAGAAAAGAGACATTGCACATGTGGAGGATTGCTACTCCCGAGAGCCTGCACTGCTCAGGAGGTGTGAGCCACTCGGCACCTCAGTTATCTCACATTTAGGATTTATCAGTGCCCAGCCCTTGCACCTCTGCCACACCATTTGCTGCCTGACCTGGTGCGGCTGCCGGCAAATTCCCGCGAGCTGCTTTATACAGGTCTTAACAAGGTGCCTCCTGTCCTAGATCCCAAAGCCCTTTCTGTTACATCATATATGGGAAAACTGACAGGGGATAGTTAGGGACTGGGATAGGCAGCAATGGTAACGGAGAGCACAAACCCCTCGACAACCCATGCTTGAAGAGCACAACGAGTAATGGTGTGGGCAGGGGGCCAACTCGAAGGCTGAAGTGGTGGCTGGGGAGGTGGCTCTGCCACACAAGCTGATGGCGGGTGATGTTTCCAGCTCTTACAGGCTCACTCAGGCAAGGCAATGCCCTCCAAGGCGCCTTCGGAGAGGTGCCGCTTGGGAGCAGACCTCCCGGCACAGATGGAAGTGGAGACCTGTTGGGTGGCCTCGGAGGAGGTCTCCTCGGTGGTGGTCTGCTTGGTGGCGGTGGTCTGCTTGGTGGTATTACTGGTGGTTTGCTGGGCGGCGGTGGTGGAGGGCTGCTGGGGGGGCTGACTGGTGGTCTGCTTGGTGGAGGGGGCAATGCCGGCGGTGACTCGCCAGGTGGAGGGGGTGGTGGAGGCGCTTACGGGGGGGAGCCCAAAAACTCTCCCAGAGGCTGGCCGGCAGCTGGTGGCGATGTCCCCAGGGATGGCATCCCTGCAGGGGTTGCTGGAGGAGCACTGGGACAAGGAGGTCTGCTCGGCGACGGAGGTCTTCTCGGCACGGCAGGGATCCTCCGTGGCCCCGGTGGCGTTCTTGGCAGAGGAGGGCTTCTGGGCAATGGAGGGCTGCTGGGAGGTGGTGGCCTGCTCGGCGTCCTTGGCGAAGGCGGCTTGCTCAGCACCATCCAGGGGCTCACTGGGTAAGGACAGCACCGTCCGGTCTCCTTGCAGGGGGGGCAACCTCAGTGCTGTTTGCTGGGGGGCGATGGTGATGCTTCAGTAGATGCTCAGATCTGGTTTGGAGCTGATGCTTTGAGATAAATGCTGCCTGGAAGCCCTGCCAGGTTTGCATCGCTGGCTGCAAAAGAGCCTCTTGAACTACACAAGTTAAAGGAATCGGTAGTTGAAAGGCGCTTGCCCCTAGAGGGTGCATCGGACCACGCGTCAGCTCTGGGCAGCTAGTGCCACCACTGCCAATGCTCACTTGTTTGCATTTTAACTCTTATTTAAAGCCCAGCACCAAGCAGAAGCACAAGCAATAATGAGGCAACTAAAGCAAAGCTTCTGATAAAACTGGAAAATAACTGAGAAAACTTGGTGTCTTCTGCCATTTCTGGTCTAAATGGCCTCTGACTCACCCACCCCTGGAGCAGTGGCTTTGTGTGAGCAGTAGAGCCCGGGTGGGGGGGTGCTGGGCTCAGAGCCCACTCATGGTGTCCCCTCACTGTCCCTGCAGGCTGAGGATCGTGGAGCTGACGCTCCCCAGGGTGTCCCTGCGGCTCCTGCCTGGCATCGGCGTCCACCTCAACCTCTACACCCGGGTGGCCCTCAACGCCAAGAGGTAGGTCGGGCTGGTGCTGCTGGTGGCAGTGCCAGCCGTGCCCCGGGCTCGCTGGAAGCACTGCCACGAGGGGTGTCTCCAGAGGGACACACTGCTCCTGTTCTGTGGGAAGAGGCTGCTCCTCTGAAGGTTGCTCCTTTCCCTTGCACAGCCTCCTGGGCTTGCTTGACATCGCAGTGGAAGTCAACATCACATCAAGGGTCAGGCTAACCATGGATGGCACGGGCTACCCCAAACTGGTGACAGAACGATGCAATACCCTCCTTGGTGGCATTAAAGTCAGACTCCTGAGAGGGTGAGTGATGGAGGTTTCCTTCTCTGCCGGCATGAGCCACCTCACCATTGGGCTTTGCTGGCCCCAGCCCGCACCCGCAGAACGGCAAATGCACAAGGGCATTTCCCCATTGCATGTCTCAGTCCTGTGGGTGACCGTGACACTGGCAGCCGCTGTCCCTGCAGGTGACAGTGATGGTCACCGGCCATGGCATGGGGCTGAGCAAAGGGCTTCTGGCAGTGGTGGTCCCTGGGTGCCCCTCATGCAGCTGCAGTAAATGAACATGTTGCCCCAGAGGCCTGCACGAC